ACCTCTTCTCTTTCTTTTCTTTCTTTTTTCTTTCTCTATCACTTTCTTTTTCTTTATCTTTCTCTTTCTTTCTTTCTTGTGCTCTCTCTCTTTCTCTTTCTTTCTCGACAAGGTTCAGCTCTATAGCCCAGGCTACAGTGCAGTCACGCAATCTCAGCTCATTGCAACCTCTGCTTCCTGGGTTCAAGCCCTCCTCCCACTTCAGCCTCCTCAGTAGCTGGGACTATAGGCACCCGCCAGCACACCTGGCTAATTTTTTTTTTTTTTTTTTGAGACAGAGTCTCGCTTTGTCACCACATGCCAGGCTGGAGTGCGTGATCTTGGCTCACTGCAACCTCCACCTCTGGGTTCAAGAAATTCTTCTGCCTCAGCCTCCCGAGTAGCTGGGACTACAGACGCTAATTTTTGTATTTTTAGTAGAGATGGGGTTTCACCATCTTGGCCAGGATGGTGTCAATGTCTTGACCTCATGATCCGCCTGCCTCGGCTTCCCAAAGTGCTGGGATTACAGGCATGAGCCACTGCGCCCAGCCTAATTTTTGTATTTTTAGTAGAGACGGGGTTTCACCATGTTGCCCAGCCTGATCTAGAATTCCTGGCCTCTTCCGATCTGCCTGTGTTGGCCTCCCAAAGTGCTGGGATTATAGGCATGAGCCACCATGCCCAGCCACACTGCTTTTCCTACCCACTACTTCTCTGAGTTTGAGTTCTTTCTTAAGAAATATGAAGATAGATAAGAACTGTCCAGGTCAGGCATGGTGGCTCACACCTGTAATCCCAGCACTTTGGAAGGCTGAGGCAGGTGGATCACGTGAGGTCGGGAATTCGAGACCAGCCTAACCAACATGGAGAAACCGTGTCTCTACTAAAAATACAAAATTAGCAGGGCATGGTGGCACATGCCTGTAATTCCAGCTACTTGGGAGGCTGAGGCAGGAGAATCGCATCAACCTGGGAGGGGGAGTTTGCAGTGAGCCGAGATCACGCCATTGCACTCCAGCCTGGGCAACAAGAGCAAAACTCCATCTAAATAAAACAAACAAACAAAAAAAACCTGTTCAATACAACATGATCCACACACTCTTTACCCAGTGGACAGTGGGGACACAGGCTTCTGTGTCCACACCCTTCCCCTAGTGGTTTCCTGGGAAGAAAAAAGGAAGCACTGATTGGTAGATGCCAATGTCATAGGCTGCCATCCTACCATGAACAATGCTCCAGGTGACAGATAATTAGGACAAATATTCATAAACAGCCTCCCCTACTCTGTCCTCATGCCTCTATTTCCCCGGGTACAAAAAGCACTGAATATGTCAGAGAACTAGACAAACCCAGGTTTCTTCTAACCATCCACCACCACAGCCTGCCTAAGCCCTCAGGGTACGCCATCCTACCCCAGGGCCTAGATCTCAGGGGTCACTAGAGCAGTCTCATCATGATCTATGCAGGCAAACCCAGCACAGCATTCTTTGCCAAAGGTGGGGTGAAAATCTCTGCTCTTAACAGAGACGAGTTTTGGTAGTATCTTCCCTCTCTTGAGGCAGCCTCCCTGGACACCAGTCATTTTTGCACAAATGAGGCAGCAAGCAGTGTCTCCCAGGTCCTCAAATTCCCTCCCTGCCCTATGCTGCCCTAGGACCAACAATAGGAGGATACGTTTTCCGTCTTTCAAGCCAGGCAACTTAGCAGAAGCTGGTGAAGCCAGCTCTGACTCCAGGAGAGCAGAGAACTTGATGGCCTCCTCTCGAAAAGACAAGACCCAACAGGCATTTCTGGAGATCTGCCACTTGCTCTCTAAATCCAGTGAGTGCGGGAATGCTAACGGTTTGTTCATGCCATCCCGGACCCTCATCCGTCCCCGTTTCCCTGAAGCCCAAGTTTCCGGGTGGGAATGATGCCTTGGGGAACACCCATGGTGTGTAGCCACTTCTTACCACCAGCCCAGGATGGGGAGGATGCCTCCGTGGAATGGTCTGAATGACAATGGCAAGCCAAGCTCGTTTCTGTTCCACCCCAGGTGAGGGCTGGGGCAGGTGTGTCCAGGAAGAGCTTCCATTGCCAGGCCACGGTGACCAAGATGGGCCTGGCCTAGACGGCGAGCCTCACCTGCGCATCTCTGGGGACAGTGCTCCATGGGGTCCCGGCCAGGGGAAATGTCCCTGACCACACGTCTCGGCAGACCTGCTGTCTTCTCTCATGCTTGAATTTGGGGTATGGAGTTATATTCCTGAGTGGTGGTCAGCAGGCTGCTAGCCCATTGGCTGGCACTCTTCCCAAGGATCATAATTAACTGATAACACTAATACAATGTGAGTTTGTGCTCCCATAATAGTCTCCTGCTGACAGATAAATGCTGCGGAAACATGATGGCTTTTCCTGAAGCTGTAATGGGCCATTATTGGGGCAAGAAGGCTCAAGTCCTATTAGCACTGCTGCCATGACACCAAGGATAAAATATGAAGGGGCCATCTTGAGCGGTTAAATGCTTGGGTTCCCTCCCAACACCAGTGTCATCCATTTCGTTATCTGAAATCCCTACCAGGGGTCTTGGAATAACTTCTAGATATTTAAAATCTTCATTAATTTTTCCTTTTTCTGAGCCTCGAGATCCCTTCTCACCAACACAGCTGATTAGCATATTAAAGTTCTCTCTTTACCGTAGATTTCTTCCTCCTGTAGGCCCTATGCAAGATGGCAGCTGCAGTGAGCAGGCAGGTTGGAGGATGAGGAAAGTGAGATTTGTTTCTCCATAGAAACAAAAATCTTTTTTTCCTCCCAACTACCAGGAGAATAGGAGCACATTATGACTGTAATAGCTTTATCCCCTGCCAAATTTCTAAGGGAAAAAAAAGAGAACTAGGAGAAACACAAAAAGAAAATGAAGGAGAAGGAGGAGGGAGACGAGGGGGAAAGAAGGAATACCATACCTTGATATGTACCTAGTAGCTAAGAGGCATTGAACAACTAGCTATTGACTGAATGAATGATCTGTCTGATTAAATATTTTCCATTACAGCGGATTGTGGAGTTTTTTTCTTATAACAAAGAAACTTGACCTTGTTTTTGTCCACGTCACATATTAGTTTATCATCTAATTTCTTGTGACTCTGGCAACAATTTTTTATTATTATTATTTTTGAGATAGAGTTTCACTCTTGTTGCCCAGGCTGGAGTACAATGGTGCCATCTCAATTCACTGCAAACTCTGCCTCCCGAGTTCAAGGAATTTTCCTGCCTCAGCCTCTCAAGTAGCTGGGATTACAGGTACCCACCACCACACGCAGCTAACTTTTGTAATTTTTTTAGTAGAGACAGGGTTTTGCCATGTTGGCCAGCCTGGTCTTGATCTCCTGACCTCAGATAATCCACCTTCCCTGGGGTCCCAAAGTGCTGTGATTACAGGCGTGAGCCACCACACCCTGGCAACAGGCTCTGGGGACAGGCTCTAGGGACAATTTGAGCATAAAACACAGCTGATTACAAATAGTAATGCAAGCAATCTGTTTCTAGGGCCTCATCACTGGTAGAAGAAAAAGTTCTCTTTGGTTGATGATAGTTTTAACTCCAAAAATCCCATGGTCAGCAATGGCCACAGAAAGAATAAACAATTTCTCTGCACATTCGCGGATTATACCTCCGTTTACATGTCTATCCTAAAAGATAACAATTTTAGAGAAACCATGAACTACGGGACACTTGGAAAATTAACTCTAAAGCACCACACACACTTGTAAGGTATTGTTGTTAAGTGGAAGCCAAGAAACACCTTGACACAGCCTGTCTCCCTTGTATGGGTGACAGAAAATTCAACGCTGCAGACATTCAAATGTGGTTTTACCTCATGGCTCAATTAAGGTAGAATTTCATCGTACGTAATTATTTTTTGGAATAAAATGCATTTCATTTTTGCTCTAGTAAAATGTTTTGTGAGGAGAGAAAAAAATAGCAAATGCTTCCAGGTTTTAAGAAAAATCAAGTATCAAGGCCGGACGTGGTGGCTCATGCCTGTAATCCCAGCACTTGGGGAGATCGAAGCAGGTGAATAACCTGAGCTCAGGAATTGGAGACCAGCCTGAGCAACATGATGAGACCCTGCCTTTACAGAAAATACAAAAACTGGCTGCATGCCATGGTGTGCACCTGTAAGTACCGGCTACTCTGGAAGCTGAGGCAGGAGAATTGCTTGACCCTGGGAGGCAGAGGTCAAGATCACACCACTGCACTCCAGCCTGGGTAACAGAGCCTGACCTTGTCAAAACAAACAAACAAAAACAAACAAACAAAAAACCCAAAGAAACGAAAAATCAAATGTCAGTGTTTTATAAAGTATAGACCTATGTAAAACATGGTTAAGATGACAGCTTTTTGGGTAGGGGGAACGGAGTCTCGCTCTGTCACCAGGCTGGAATGCAGTGGCACCATCTCGGCTCACTACAACCGCCAGTTCCCAGGTTCAAGCGATTCTCCTGCCTCAGCTTCCCCGAGTAGCTGGGATTACAGGTGTGCGCCACCATGCCCAGCCAATTTTTGCATTTTTAGGAGAGACAGGGTTTCACCATGTTGGCCAGGATGCTCTTGATCTCCCGACTGTGATCCACCCGCCGTAGCCTCCCCAAGTGCTGGGATTACAGGCTTCAGCCACCAAACCTGGCCAAGATGACAGCTTTTAACTGTGTTCTTACATGAGAAAAATGCTGGGTGACCATTACCTTCACAGATGTATACTGCAATTAAAGCAGTCCCATTGGCGAACTCCCCGCTGCTCTGAATGATATATTATGAATGGGTCAG